GTACAACTAAAGACCCTATGAAACAAGTCTCATATACATTTATTTGCTGCACTAGCCTCATAATGTAATAAACAAACACAGGAACGTAGTAATTCTTAGACAACTGGCAATTCTGCCACCTTCGGGAGACTTGGACCTGTAGAACCCATATCTCCAACCTCCAGACCTCAGTTTTTTGATAGTATCCTAGTAGGTTGGGCACCCTTTCTTTATCTCTGCTAAGAAAGACAAACTGTTGTTTTGCTCTTTTATTTTTATTTAATTTAAGATTCTGTTTATTTCTTTCATTGATTTCAATCACGACTTCGAGGAATGCTGCTTGAGCTTGTCTGTACCCGACAACGTTCTGGAGTGTTGTTCCCTCAGCAGCAGCTTTGGAGGCCGTACCAGGGCCCTGCTGGACTGACGTTTGCAGGGTAAACCTGGAATGTGAACTTTGGTCATTGTGCTCTGCATTGTGGCACTTTTCATGCCTCTATAAACTAACCCAGGAGTCAGCAACCAGTAGATCGTGATCTCCCTGTAGATCTCAGCCAGGTGACTGGAAGATCATGGTCAGGGCTTGCTGATCCACCATCCCAGAGCATCAAACTGAATGCAGTGCAGAGGGACTACTTTTAAAGTTGGAACTGTAGTAGGGAGCAGGAGCCGCTCCCTACTACAGCTCTACTACTCCTCTGTAGTGCTGGCTTCTATGCCCTGTCATCATGATTGGTGGGTGTAGCACCTGCCAAGCATGGCCCATTCAAGTGAATGAGGCTGCTCTGCAAGTGCCCTGCAACCTTGTGCTAGTGCACAAGGGGTTAAACAGGCAGTGGTGTGTTACTTTCTTGCCAACTGCTTTAACCCCTTGGACCCAGTAGAAGCATGCACTTGTGGGGTGCTTGCAGAGTGGCCCCATTTATTTGAATAGGTCATGATTGGCAGGTGGTAGTACCCACCCATAGCAACAGGGGGCTTAATTCCTGCTGTGACATGTAAACACCTTTGGCTGCTGCCTCAGCAGCTAAAGAGGGTAGGGATGTAAGCAGGCATTTTGCAGGCGTTTGAGGGGTGTTTTTTTAACACTCCTAAAATGCCTATGAAAATTATACGCATGGCCGCACACAGTACTGTTCACACTGAAGCATTAGGGTCGTGGCAAAATTGACACCTCATGTCCAGTCAGGAGGAGTTGAAGCCTTTCAACGCTTCCCATTCAAGTCTATGGTGACACTCCTCAAATGCCTGGCAGGTGTTTGCGGGGTGTCTGCGGGGTGTTTTCAAGGCGTTTGCGGGGCGTTAATACTATTCAACTTCATTACAAGCAAACCAAAGGACTCAAAAAGCCCATAGGGCTGAACTACCCCTGAACTAATCCATAGTGCTCTGGGAAATCTCTGCTTTATATTATGTCTTTATTTATGAACAAATACTGAATGCATCGTAAAAAAGTATATATAAAATAGCAGTTTAAAATCTTACAATCCTTAACAAAACAAAACGCATAAAATTGACTCAATAATATTATTATAGTTGTCCTTTAAAGTAAGCCTGTTGTAAGTGAAACATAGGAATTGTCATTGTTAACCTCCTCTTAAAATGCTAATTACCTGGTTGTTATGCTGACCCACTGGCTTCCATACTTTTTGAGTCACAGATCTGGAACTAGTACGCAAAATGCCAAAAAATTGCCCAAAACTTGTATACAAGCCAATGGGTGGAACAAGCCTGCCTTTTAGTTACACAAAGCCATCGGTTTTCATTGTGCACCATTACAATCTTCTAGCCTTCAGCGTCCTGACAACCAATGATATCAGCGGTGGATAGGGAGGACTTCAGTTGCCTGCGCAGCATCCTTGTTTGACCCTCCCCTGCCCCTCGCCATCAGTCTGGGGTCACATCAGCTCAGTGATGAAGAAAAACTGAGGGAGAAGAGAAACACTGGAATACTAGTCAGTACCAGTGACAAAGGTGTATTTGCTTTGGCAGACTAAATCACCTCCAACGTTGGGCGTCTTACATTAGTGGATGTTGCTGCACTATATAAAACCATTAGAATAGTTTTTTTACAATTTAGAATGGGGTGCTTCAAGACCGTCTATAATTTTAAAGGGTGCTCGAGACTGTACATAATTTTGCCTAAAAAAAGTTCCAGAAACACTGCAGTGAAGGCATGAGCATAGCCACCCAGAAACAGCACGTGTGTTCTTCGCTGGATTTGCAGAAAATTAATGGAGCCACCTCACCTAACAACTGATAAGCTGCAATATTTAAATGTTTTTATTCTGGGTTTAGCTTTTAACCACCTTTGATTAATTGCAAATGGTCACCAATGAAAGCAGTCTGCCATGTTTTTGATAAAGATGTCTTCTGAAAGTACATTTTATAAACTGCTTCACCTGCATCCAGTCGATTCAAGAAAAAAAAATAATTCCTTTTAAAACTGCACATTGTTCGAATTTCTGCTGTCTGTCCGTGGAGATCTTGTTTTGTTACTCCGATGAATCTTAACAAAGCAAATTACTATTGCTATACTTAACAATAATATTATGATGCATATCAAAAGTATTAGGAGATGAGTATGACACTCAAAGAATGAACGATTGACGTCATCAACCAACATATCCTTAATTGAAGAGGGGGAATTACATATGTATCCTTCAGGCCATTTTTGAACTACCCAATCAGTTTCTGCAATTTCTCTCATTTCAATCACGAAAGAACATGAACAGGTATATGGATTATTATCTCCTTTAAAACTTCTTAGATGTTCAAAGTATTGTAGCTGACCTCTGTTTATGGTTTCAATAAGATTTCCATCAACAGCTAGGACTTGAAGAAAGGGAAGATTACCCATTGGGGATATAGTTGTAAATGCATTGTAGGACAGATAAAGCTCTCTCAGTCTAGGCAATGAGATATTTAGCATTTCGATTTTGTTGTGGCTTAAATCAAGAACTTCACAGTTGTTAGGCAAACCAATATCAACATGCTTCAGGCCAGTATAAGACAAATTTAAGCGAATTAATGATGGCTGCCATTCACAAAGAGAATAGGACATGTTTGAGAAATTGTTCTGACTTAGGTCTAAGTGCGCCAATAGGTTGTACTTCCTTAGTGTTTGGCACACAGATTCAAAATTAACTAAATTATTATGCTGAAGTTTTAATATCTTGAGAATGGGAAATGTGCCACTACAAAAAGAAGAAGAGAGACTTTCCTCTTGAAGAAGATTTTCCGATAGGTCTAGATCTGACATATATTTAAAATTCAAACTGATGTTACATGGAAAAGTCATCAAGTTGCACTTGGACACTGTTAACTTTCCCAGTGTGGACATCCAGTTTCCAAGACCATAGAACACAGTATCTCTCTGTGTTAATGGATGTGAAGACACATTGATGAACTGCAGAGACGATATATGAGGTTGTTTTGCTTCTGTTGTCCAACTATATTGGCCCACAAAAGTTGTGTTTTCAAATGAAAGCAAAGTGATTGGAATCTTCTGCAACCATTTTATAAAGCCAGACAAAAAATCCTCAGACAAAACGACATTTACAAAGCTGATCCTGGTTAACTGACCTTGAACCTCATTCTGAGCTTGCTGCAGTTCCAAGTTGTATATAATAAAACTTTCTGCTTTCACGTAGCTTCCTCCAGTGAATTCAAAGCTGGTAGCCGTAATGCATGAAATGATAGACAAGATGTTGTTCAAGTCAAGAAACAAACAGGAACAATGTCTAAGGGAGGGATCATAGGTGCAATCTGCTTCTGAAGCTGGGATCTTCTGAGCAAATAAAAAGATGACAATAAAGGAATGGCCGACCTTCATTGTGAAACGTTTTCTAGGAAAATAGCGCAAGAAAAAACACAAGAATAAAAAAGGATTAAAAAAAGCAAGTTAATTGAATATTTGCCCATACTATTAAAGGGGTTTTCTGTTAAAACTAGAAAGCTCTGATGACATTCTGGCACTTCTAACTGCAGGGGAATCTGAGAATATAGGTAATTCATTCAGACATCAATGCCTAAAAACTTATAAGAGCAAACTTTTGTCAGAATATCAAATGAAAGTATAGTGGTTATATAGTGCCTTGAAAAAGTATACATACCCCTTGAAGTTTTCCACATTTTCTCATGTCACAACCAAAAACGTGAATGTAGTTTATTGGGATTTTAGGTGATTGTGACGGAAGCGTAGGCAGGACAGAACACGCAAAGAAGATGGGGAACACACAAAGCTTTATTGAACTATGAAAGATACTCAATCAGGACAGTTCAAAGCACTCCGCAGCATGCGGCTTGTAGGGACACCCACGGTAAGTGGGCTTAAGGGGACTCAACGGGACCTTGGCTGTGGAGTCTGGCCTCGACACAGTGTGCTAGGGATGACATAGTGCTCACGGGAACTCAACGGGACTTCAGCTGTGGAGTCTGGCCTCCGCACAGCTCCCACCCAGCTTTCTAGGGACATCGGGCTCACGGGAACTCAATGGGACTTGGGCTGTGGAGTCTGGCCTCAACACAGCGTGCTAGGGATGACATCAGGCTCATGGGGACTCAACGGGACTTTAGCTGTGGAGTCTGGCCTCAGCACAGCCCCACTCAGCTTTCTAGGGACATCAGGCTCACGAGGACTCGACAGGACTTGGTCTGTGGAGTCTGGCCTCAACACAGCATGCTAGGGACGACATCAGGCTCACGGGGACTCAACGGGACTTGGGCTGTGGAGTCTGGCCTCAACACAGCGGGCTAGGGACGATTCAGGGCACAGGTGGTCTGAGCGCACAATAGAGACAGCTCAGGACATGGGTGGGTTGTGCGCACAATAGAGACAGTTCAGGACATGGGTGGTTTGTGCACACAACAGGGACAGTTCAGGACATGGGTGGTCTGTGCACACAACAGGGACAGTTCAGGACATGGGTGGTTTGTGCGCACAACAGGGACAGTTCAGGACACGGGTGGTCTGTGCGCACAACAGTGACAGTTCAAGACACGGTTGGTCTGTGCACACAACAGGGACCGTTCAGGACACGGGTGGTCTGTGCGCACAACAGGGACAGTTCAGGACACGGGTGGTCTGTGCGCACAACAGGGACAGTTCAGGACACAGGTGGTCTGTGCGCACAACAGGGACATTTCAGGACACGGGTGGTCTGTACGCACAACAGGGACAGTTCAGGACACGGGTGGTCTGTACGCACAACAGGGACAGTTCAGGACACAGGTGGTCTGTGCGCACAACAAGGACAGTTCAGGACACGGGTAGTCTGTGCACACAACAGGGACAGTTCAGGACACAGGTAGTCTGTGCGCACAACAGGGACAGTTCAGGACACGGGTTGTCTGTGCGCACAATAGGGACAGCTCAGGACGTGGGTGGTCTGTGCACAAAACAGGGACAGTTCAGGCCACGGGTGGTCTGTGCACGCAACAGGGACAGTTCAGGACACGGGTGGTCTGTGCGCACAATAGGGACAGTTCATGGCTTTGAGGGACACTCACGATAGGTGTCTTGCAGGTGCTCAGCAGCAGGCGGCTTCCAGAGGGGGTTAGGCGACTTGCGGACGCTCAGCAGCAGGCGGCTTCCAGGGAGGTAGGTGACCTGCGGATGTCTGCAGCAGGCAGCTTCCAGGGACAAAGTGGTCAGCAGACAGGATGGCTTCCCCGGGGCCCCACAATCAGCAGACAGGGTGGATTCCCAGGGCCCCAGCAATCAACAGACAGGGAGGCTTCCCAGGGGCCCAACGATCAGCAGACAGGACGGCTTCCCAGGACCCCCCAGCGGTCAGCAGACAGGACAGCTTCCCAGGCTCACGGGGACTGAACGGACTTGGGCTGTGGAGTCTGGCCTCAACACAGTGTGCTAGGGATGACATCAGACTCACAGGGACTCAACGGGACTTTAGCTGTGGAGTCTGGCCTCCGCACAGCTCCCACCCAGCTTTCTAGGGACATTGGACTCACGGGGACTCAACAGGACTTGGACTGTGGAGTCTGGCCTCAACACAGCGTGCTAGGGACGACATCAGGCTCACGTGGACTCAACAGGACTTTAGGTGTGGAGTCTGGCCTCAGCACAGCTCCCACCCAGCTTTATAGGGACATTGGGCTCACGGGGACTGAACGGGACTTGGGCTGTGGAGTCTGGCCTCAACACAGCGTGCTAGGGAAGACATCAGGCTCACAGGGACTCAATGGGACTTTAGCTGTGGAGTCTGGCCTCAGCACAGCTTCCACCCAGCTTTCTAGGGACATCGGGCTCATGGGGACTGAACGGGACTTGGGCTGTGGAGTCTGGCCTCAACACAGCGTGCTAGGGACGATTCAGGGCACGGGTGGTCTGAGCGCACAATAGAGACAGCTCAGGACACGGGTGGGTTGTGCGCACAATAGAAACAGTTCAGGACACGGGTGGTTTGTGCACACAACAGGGACAATTAAGGACACGGGTAGTCTGTGCGCACAACAGGGACAGTTCAGGACACGGGTGGTCTGTGCGCACAACAGGGACAGTTCAGGACACGGGTGGTCTGTGCGCACAACAGGGACAGTTCAGGACACGGGTGGTCTGTGCGCACAATAGGGACAGTCCAGGATACGGGTGGTCTGTGCACACAACAGGGACAGTTCAGGACACGGGTGGTCTGTGCGCACAACAGGGACAGTTCAGGACACGGGTGGTCTGTGCGCACAACAGGGACAATTCAGGACACGGGTCATCTGTGCGCACAACAGGGACAGTTCAGGACACGGGTGGTCTGTGCGCACAACAGGAACAGTTCAGGACACAGGTGGTCTGTGCACACAACAGGAACAGTTCAGGACACGGGTGGTCTGTGCGCACAATAGGGACAGTCCAGGATACGGGTGGTCTGTGCACACAACAGGGACAGTTCAGGCCACGGGTGGTCTGTGTGCACAACAGGGACAGTTCAGGACACGGGTGGTCTGTGCACACAACAGGGACAGCTCAGGACACGGGTGGTCTGTGCACACAACAGTTACAGTTCAGGACACGGGTGGTCTGTGCGCACAACAGGGACAGTTCAGGACAAGGGTGGTCTGTGCGCACAATAGGGACAGTTCATGGCTTTGAGGGACACTCACGATAGGCGTCTTGCAGGTGCTCAGCAGCAGGCGGCTTCCAGAGGGGGTTAGGTGACATGCGGACGCTCAGCAACAGGCAGCTTCCAGGGACAAAGCGGTCAGCAGACAGGACGGCTTCCCATGTGCCCCACGATCAGTAGACAGGGCGGCTTCCCAGGGCCCCAGCAATCAGCAGACAGGGAGGCTTCCCAGGGGCCCAACAATCAGCAGACAGGACGGCTTCCCAGGGCCCCCCAGCGATCGGCAGACAGGACAGCTTCCCAGGGGCCCCACGATCAGCAGACAGGGCGGCTTCCCAGGGCCCCAGCAATCAGCAGACAGGGCGGCTTCCCAGGGGCCCAACGATCAGCAGACAGGACGGCTTCCCAGGGCCCCCAGCGATCAGCAGACAGGACGGCTTCCCAGGGGCCCCATGATCAGCAGACAGGGGCACAGCGGGCTTCGGCAGGTAGGGGCACAGCAGGCTTGCAGGGGCTCGGCAGGGTCTTGGCGGTGCGGGGTCTGTCCCTGGGATGATTCTGACCTTTAAGAGAGTCTTATGCAGAGCGCTCAGCGGGGATGGCTGTGGGGGCCCGGTCCCCACCCGGACCTCCCAGCGGCTTCCAGGGAGATGATTCCAGCAGTGTGCACAGGGACAGAGAGGGCGGCCTGGTCCCGCGCCAGCCTATTTAAAGTCGTGCAGGACACTTCCGGGTTGCCCCGGCAACAGCCGACCCGGCACCGCGTTGCCGGGGCAGCGAGACACGCCCCCCTCACTCCGGCCACGCGGGGGAGGAGCGCGGCCTTTGTCTCTAGCTGCTTTGCCAGAGGAGAGATACTAACCGCACCACAGGGGGCGTTTCTTCCTGTCCTGCACAGTCTTTTGATGTAGGCTGGCAGGATGGAGGACTCTGCAAGGGGGGAGGGAGGGGAGGAGGGATCCGGCAGAGAGACAGTAGGCAAAGGGGGGTGGGGAAGGCACGGGCACTCTGTGACAGTGATAGACCAACAAAATGTGGCACATAATTGTGAAGTGGAAGGAAAATGATAATGGTTTTCAAAATTTTTTACAAATAAATATCTGAAAAGTGTGGCGTGCATTTGTATTCAGCTCCCCTGAGTCAATACTTTGTAGAACCACCTTTCGCTGCAATTCCAGCTGCAAGTCTTTCTATGTCTCTACCAGCTTTGTACATCTACAGAGTGAAATTTTTGCCCATTCTTCTTTGCAAAATAGCTCATACTCTGTCAGATTGGATGGAGAGCGTCTGTGAACAGCAATTTTCAGGTCTTGCCACAGATTCTCAATTATATTTAGGTCTGGATTTTGACTGGGCTATTCTAACACATGAATATGCTTTGATCTAAACCATTCCATTGTAGCTCTGGCTGTATGTTTAGGTTTGTTGCCCTCGTGGAAGATGATCCTCTGCCCCAGTCTCACATCTTTTGCAGACTCTAACAGGTTTTTTTCTAAGATTGCCCTGTATTTGGCTCCATCCAACTTCCTATCAACTCTGACCAGCTTCCCTGTCCCTGCTGAAGAAAAGCATCCCCACAACATGATGCTGGCACCACCATGTTTCACGGTAGGGATGGTGTGTTCAGGGTGATGTGCAGTGTTAGTTTTCCACCACACATAATGTTTTGCTTTTAGACCATAAAGTACCATTTTGGTCTCATCTGACCAGAACACCTTCTTCCACATGTTTGCTGTGTCCCCCACAAGGCTTCTCAAAAACTGCAAACGGGACGTCTTATGGCTTTCTTTCAACAATGGCTTTCTTCTTGTCACTCTTCCATAAAGGCCAGATTTGTGGAGTGCATGACTAATAGTTGTCCTGTGGACAGATTCTCCCCTTGAGCTGTGGATCTCTGCAGCTACTCCAGAGTTACCATAAGCTTCTTGGCTGCTTTTCTGATTAATGCTCTCCTTGCCCGGCCTGTCAGTTTGGGTAGACGGCTATGTCTTGGTAGGTTTGCAGTTGTGCCATACTCTTTCCATTTTCGGATGATGGATTGAACAGTGCTCTGTGAGATGTTCAAAGCTTGGGATTTTTTTTATAACCTAACCCTGTTTTAAACTTCTCCACAACTTTATCCCTGACCTGTCTGGTGTGTTACTTGGCCTTCATGATGCTGTTTGTTCACTAATGTTCTCTAACAAATCTCTGAGGGCTTCACAAAACAGCTGTATTTATACTGAGATTAAATTACACACAGGTGGACTCCGTTTACTAATTAGGTGACTTCTGAAGGCAATTGGGTCCACTAGATTTTAGTTAGGGGTATTGGAGTAAAAGGGGCTGAATACAAATGCATGCCACGTTTTTCAGATATTTATTTGTAAAAAATTTTGAAACCATTTATCATTTACCTTCCACTTCACAATTATTTGTCACTTTGTGTTGGTCTATCACATAAAATTCCAATAAAATACATTTACGTTTTTGGTTGTAACATGACAAAGTGTGGAAAATTTCAAGGGGTATGAATACTTTTTCAAGGCACTGTAAGTTCCATCATGGCATCATTTCACAATAATTTACACAATATCCAACATACATATTATTGTTCTTCAAAATGTAATACTTCAGTAACTTAGAGCTGAAGTTTAGGTATTTCAGGCTTTACTTAGTTACATTGGTCCAGCTTGGAGCAATGTAAGTATGTATTTGCCATGCCTGTTGGATCCCTGTGGAAGCTGGAAATCAATGTCGTAGACACTGCTACTACAGTGATCCCCACTAGCTTCCGGGTTCCATTCTGCGTGGCTGCCCTGCTGCCTAGTAAACAGGGGAGGTTGCATGCTTGGCAGAGGCACAATTCGCAGAACACTTTTTCTATGAATTGGACCCTGATGGATCCATGTGGAAGCTAGAAATCAATGTAGTAGACACTGCTACTACAGTGATCCGCACTAGCTTCCGGTTTCAATTCTGAGTGGCTGCATTGCTGCAGAATGAACAGAGGAGGTTGCATGCTTAGCACAGGCGCCATTCACAGAACACTTTCTCTATGAATTTGGCTCTCTACTTTGTCCACTCAGAGAACGCTTTGTGTTCATTGAGATAATGTAAATTGTTTCCTGAATGGCACCTGGAAGCAAATAGATATCACTGTAGTAGTTGTATCTACTACAGTGATTTGCGGTTTCCACAGAGATCCCATAAGTATGGCATATATATACTTACATTGCTCCAATCTGACCAATGTAACCTTTGTAAAATTTGCATGACCTAATCTTCAGCATTAAAGCTTAAAGTGATACTAAACGATTAATTCTCCAAAAATAATCAATATACAGTACACTCATTACCTAATGGCCCTGTGCTTTTCTTCTGTCTGTTTGGAAGGAACAGTTCACTTTAGTTGTGGTCATGTGCACTGCTGTATCCACAATACAAATCTACAAGTGCCTGGTCTATCTTGGAAGTGAGCAAAAGAGGGTGGCTATGTTCCAACTTACAGTGGGACCATGGAAACAAACATAACCACTTTCTAACAGTAAGGCAGATGACAGCAGCAACAGCAGCAGCCAAAAAAAAAAATTAAGATTCGGCTACTAGCAATATAAGGTACTTTTTTGATGTATTGAATTGAATAGCATTTTTTAAACCAATGTTTAATGTCATTTGAACTAAACTTTCAGTTTAAATTTGCTAAATCAGGTATAGCAAAACAACAGTTGCTCAAAATATTATGTTTTTTTTTTCTTTTTGCAAATCAGCTATAATATGAGCAGAAGAGCCTGTCCCCTGTCATCATGCTGCAGAAAAGGACTCATCCTTTCTGTGTGGAAGCTGTAATCTTTTTGCAGAGATCCAACATACCCACTGCTTAGTCAGATCTACAGCTCTCCAAACAGAAAAGCTAATGGCTCTGACTTAGTCGTGAGTGTGTCAGTCCTATGAAAAGTGACTACTGCTTCCAATTAGAGTGCAAAGGTCCTACTCTGCAACATGCTGGCAGGAGACAGGACTTTCTACAAGATTGTGGTTGCCTTCTCAAGGATCAAACTGCAAGGCTTCACACCCCTTTTGTTTTGATGTGCCTGAACTGTATTTTGCTGATATAAATGTAAAGTTCAATTTGGTTTTAAAGCCTACTAGCATTGATTACAGTGGTGTAATTAGAACCTTCAGAGCCTCAATGCAAGAAACCATGAGAGGCCCCCTGGCCCGTTGACAGAACGCAAGGGTTGGACACAAGTGCGACCTAATGACCCTGGTAGTTTCGCCATTCATGCCAATAGTTTTTTTTTTTAATTTGGGTTTTTTTTTTACAATATTATTATTTTATTATTCTTTGAAATTTTTGTTGGAGCCTCATTGGGGAGGAGGGGCTTTGGTGAGATATCCGGGGTCTAAACAGACCTCTGATGTTTACATTTTGAGACAGAGAAAGAAGATTGAGGACACAGCACTCAATCTCCTTCTCTGCTACACAGAAATGGATAGGACTAGCTCTGTAGAGAGCTTCCTGTTCATTCACAAACTGAGGCATTGTGGCAGTAAATTAGGGCAGCACAGTGACTAAATAGTTAGCACTTCCGCCTGGCAGTACTAGGGTCGCTGGTTCAAATTCT